CATCTATTTAACCCTCTAACCAACTTTTCTTTAAAACTGAAAAAAAAATAGTCGGGAATTTTTTCCTAGGATAATTATGACCTTCTAAACTCAAAAAACTTCCCGGTCTATATGCCAAAAAAAAAACAGGCATCCTTCCCATACAAAAAGCATTCACCACTTTATTGTTTTATTCACTATCGAGGTGAATTCGTGTGTTTGAATACTGCTACACATATACAAATGCACATAATTGGACATATCTGTCAAAATAGTTACTGTACGAATGACAGTTCGTCATAGTGAATTTTGTTTTTGACAACATCAAACATATATAACAAGCTGTTGTTTTACGTTTTAATTACATTTTTATTCCATAAAATAGTTGATAAAATTGAGGTGAGCGAACTTGGTGGCAGTAAGATTTCAAATAAAAGTCAGTCATTTGGATTATGCAAATTTTTTGAGTTTCAATCAATTTTTTTAAATAATAAAAAATAGTTTTTGATTTGAAGAAGTGAACTGATCTATATTTCAACACACTCAATCTTGTGTTTTCTATCACTATCATCTATTCTCGATGAAATTTTATTGTGTCTGAGGACGAGTTAATTTTTTTTAAAGAAATGGAAATTAACTGAGAAGAAAAATGGAAAAGAATCTCTCGGAACTGACAATCAATAGAGAAGCTCACTGTAACAACCATGGAGTAATGGTAAGTTTATCATTTGCAAAAAATGGTTCACTCAAACATTCCAATCGACGAGATGTACAGAGCAATCAATGACAATCACATGAAATCCAAATGTTATATTATTTGTCATGCATATGCCGAACATTATGAAATTTAAAACAAGAAAAATAACTAATTTTAGCGTACCCATAGAGAATTCGTCATGGTTATAATTTATCGGTCACGAGAGGACATGAGGTCATAGTGATTTTTATATGGATAAACCATTTTTTAACAGGTATCTAGTGCCAACTATACTCAGGATGGATGACAGCTACAAATTGTATTAAATTTGGCGTGGAATCAAAATAAATTCTTGAAATGCGAATTGTCATTAATGTACGTTAGGCGATCATGACGGAGCATTCAATGTAGAAGATTTTTATTTATATTTGCTCCTACGTGGTAGATGATATTTGCCTGACGATGAACTATTAACATGACGAATTTTCTAATAATTACCTTTTGCTAATAGCTGTGAATGCAGCCGTATTCTGATAACACTCACTATGCTTAAATGATCTTACCTCATCATTACAATCATTTCTCATTACTTGCAGCCAATCAACGTAAAATACAGCCCAATGACTGCATCCGCAATGAAACGAAAACATCAACATGACATTTCTTATTTGCATTCAAAGGAAAAGAAACAGTCTCACGATGAAAAAACGCCAACAGAATTCAACGATATGTGTGACAACGTGATTGACTTGATTTTGTGCCACTTGCAGCTGGAAGATTTAGCAAATGTATCTGACACAAGCAAACGCCTTAAAAATATTGCTGGCTCAGTATTTTCCCGAAGACATAGACATCATCTAATATCATTTGATGCTTTTCATCATTCACATGATGTGAGTGAATTACAACGTGAGATGAAAGAGAAAATTACGGGAAATGTTTGTAAAAACAAATTGATCGTTAGAATCCGTGATGCCAAAATTTGGTTCAAGCTAATGCGAAATTTTGGAGAATCCATTCAATTTATGCGTATTGAGTGTGTTTGTAGGCTAAACTCAAATGTCCCCGTTACAAACATCCCGACCGCCTATGAAAATGTGATCAAATACGTTTTCGAATATTGCACCGATTCATTGGAGATGCTAGAACTGAAAAGTTATCCATTTTTCCCCTTGAATAAGCCATTAAGCAAGTTACATCAATTCATTACACGTGGATTTGTGTACCCGGAAGTTTTGGAATTAATGCCAAATCTACGTTGTTTGACTTTAAGTTCCGTTCCAAAAACATTAGAAAAGTACTTTCCACAATTAGAATGAATTTCTTTGCAACTACATAGCGATGAAGAAGCACATTCACTCATTTCTTTTTTGAGTATGAATCGACAGATCAAATATTTAAATTTGTTTTTATCGTTAAATGATATGAGAAATTACTACAATTTAATATATTCTTCGATCGTTGAAAACTTAACTCAATTAAAAAAGTTCAAAATATACTCTAATCAAAAAAAACTTACATCAACATATCGGTTCAAATCAGTCGAATCATTTTCGTGTTTCGGACATTCATTCGCAAATCAACAAACTGCCTTATTTGAGTTTGAAAATCTTACAAGATTACGTGTGCATCTGATTTCTCCAAATTTTAATTTGTTGAGCATCGTTTTGCCTAATAAAAAATTGAAAATACTGAAATTGAAAGGATCTTCAAAACAGTGTAGAAATAAAATCTATATTAGAAAATTGCTGAGCGAATTGCCTGAATTAGAACAAATCATTGTTTGTCTCCCAGAGAAAAATCTCTTGAAGTTGAAGAAAATTCTCGGAAACGAATGGAAACAAATTCAAATGAAAGATGTTCCAATATTCAAGAATTTGTGGTTCAAATCGAAATTTCAACGTATAAAATAAACTGTTTTTATTCTATACCACTGTGGTATTACCACATCAATTCTAACAGAATGTATAAACACGGAAAAATTCAAACTTTAGTTATTATTACTTTTATTTAGCGAGTAAACTGGAAAAATTTGAAATCATTTGGAATCATTTGAATCTCGATATGACA